AAAATAAATTATAAATATAGGAGATAATTTTTTTGCAGAAAATAGTGATACTTTAAACCAGTACACCCATACTTTCAAGCTTTTGTTCCCATTAAAAAGATAAGTCCTTTCACTTTGGAGTTCCGAAAGACAATGAAGAATGAACGATGAGTTAATGCTGAACACAAGGTGAATGTAAAGTTAGCGAACGGAGAGCGAACGGTGAACGCCTTGTGAACGGTGAACGTGAGCGCACAGTGAACGCTGAACACAAAACTGTGAACGGAGAACGAACGGTGAACGCACGCAGAACGAACGGTGAACGCACGGAAAAATGGGAAAGTAGATGATAAATTCTCACCAAATTAAGTGTAAGTGCATAAGCTTACATAAAAATATCTTGAATGGTTTATTTAAAACTAAGTAAAAATGCAAATTTAAGAACCAGAAGTCTCTGACGAGACTTTAGCTCTACTGGTTTGCAATAGAGTAATGATCCTTAGTTTAGTCTCTTTTTGTGGCAAGATTTATTGCAATCAGACTAAAACTGTAGGAAGAGTAATCTTTTAAAAGATTTTAACAGAAATTTTGATTTTAGTAACCATGGGAACATCATTCATCAAAATCAAAAAAGCTGGAAAAGACAATTATGTATCTCAGTGTAGTCTATTTGCATGCAAGGTTACACTGAAATTAAAGCAAAACTATAGAAGGAGCAGCATTTTGAATGTATTTCACAGAAAATTGTATTTTTAGTAACCATGGCAATGCATCACCAAAATTAAAAATCGATCAACAGAATTATGTATCTCAACAACTTTTGAAATCAGACCAAAACTATAGGAGGAGTAGCATTTTAAAGGAATTTCACAGAAATTTCTATTTTTAGTAACCATGGCAACACTGTTCAACAAAATCAAAAACATGCTCTAAGTTATGTATCTTAGTGTAGTCTACTTGTGTGCCAAGGTATATTGAAATCAGACCAAAACTCTTGGAGGAGAAGCATTTTAAAAGAATTTCACAGAAATTTTTATTTTTAGTAACCATGGCAACACTGTTCAACAAAATCAAAAAACCGATGAATTGAATATCTTGTATCTTAGTGTTGTTTACTTGTGTTGTATGTATGTTAGTGTAGTGTACTTGTGTGCCATGTTATATTGAAATCAAACCAAAACTGTAGGAGTAGCATTTTAATGGAATTTCACAGAAATTTCTATTTTTAGTAACCATGGCAACACCGTTCATCAAAATCAAAAACTGATACACTAATTTATGTATCTTCGTGTAGTCTACTTGTGTGCCAAGTTATATTGAAATCAAACCAAAACTGTCTGAGGAGTAGCATTTTGAAAAATTGTTTACAGACAGACAGACAGCTAGACAGAGGGACAGACGACGGACACCTTACTATCACATAGGCTCTTCTGGTCTCTGACCAGTAGAGCTAAAAACATAGGTAATCAAAGATTACGAAGCTCACCTCGACGAATGTTATCTACATGTAAGGCAAATTTCACATCATATTTTTTTTCTAGTTAGGGTACATCCCAAGATCAATATCCATGCAAGTTTGATTTAATTATAGACCTGCTCAAAAAACTTTTGACCTGTTTAGTAATCAAGAAAATTTTGGTCAGTTCCAACATCCAAAGCAAGTCTGGAAGTTTTCATCCTTAGATGCACCATCTATGCAAGTCTAATCATAACAGGCCATAATATTATATAGCTACTCCAAAAAAATTACCCTGGTCACTCATCTGGAAAATGTACGTCAGATTCAGAATCCAAGGCAAGTCTGGAAGTGTCCATCCCTAGATACATCATCCATGCTAATTTGGTTAAAATATGGCTAAAATTCTGGAAAATCTAGGTCAGATCCAGCATTCGAAGCAGGTTGGTTAGTGTACATCCCTAGATGCATCATCCACGAAAGTTTGGTCCAGGTAGGGCTTATAGTTACTTGGGAACGAGACTACTCCTAAATCTAAACCTGGTCTCACATGTGGAAAATCTAGGTCAGATCCAGCATCCGAAGCAAGTGTGGTAGTGTCCATCCCTGGATGCATCATCCATGCAAGTTTGGTCAAGGTAGGGCTTATAGTTACTTGGGAATAGACCTGCTCCTAAAACTTTAACCTGGTCACTCATCTGGAAAATCTAGTTCAGATCCAGCATCCGAAGCAAGTGTGGTAGTGTCCATCCCTAGATGCATCATCCATGCAAGTTTGGTCCAGGTAGGGCTTATAGTTACTTGGGAATGGACCTGCTCCTAAAACTTTAACCTGGTCACTCATCCAGAAAATCTAGGTCAGATCCAGCATCCGAAGTAAGTGTGGCCATCTCCATCCCTAGATGCATCATCCATGCAAGTTTGGTCCAGGTAGGGCTTATAGTTACTTGGGAATGGACCTGCTCCTAAAACTTTAACCTGGTCACTCATCCAGAAAATCTAGATCAGATCCAGCATCTGAAGCAAGTGTGGTAGTGTCCATTCCTAGATGCATCATCCATGCAAGTTTGGTCAAGGTAGGGCTTATAGTTACTTGGGAATGGGACCTGCTCCTAAAACTTTAACCTGGTCACTCACCTGAAAATCTAGGTCAGATCCAGCATCCGAAGCAAGTGTGGTAGTGTCCATCCCTAGATGCATCATCCATGCAAGTTTGGTCAAGGTAGGGCTTATAGTTACTTGGGAATGGGACCTGCTCCTAAAACTTTAACCTGGTCACTCACCTGAAAATCTAGGTCAGATCCAGCATCCGAAGCAAGTGTGGTAGTGTCCATCCCTAGATGCATCATCCATGAAAGTTTGGTCAAGGTAGGGCTTATAGTTACTTGGGAATGGGACCTGCTCCTAAAACTTTAACCTGGTCACTCATCTGGAAAATCTAGGTCAGATCCAGCATCAGAAGCAAGTGTGGTAGTGTCCATCCCTAGATGCATCATCCATGCAAGTTTGGTCAAGGTAGGGCTTATAGTTACTTGGGAATGGGACCTGCTCCTAAAACTTTAACCTGGTCACTCACCTGAAAATCTAGGTCAGATCCAGCATCCGAAGCAAGTGTGGTAGTGTCCATCCCTAGATGCATCATCCATGCAAGTTTGGTCAAGGTAGGGCTTATAGTTACTTGGGAATGGGACCTGCTCCTAAAACTTTAACCTGGTCACTCATCTGGAAAATCTAGGTCAGATCCAGCATCAGAAGCAAGTGTGGTAGTGTCCATCCCTAGATGCATCATCCATGCAAGTTTGATCCAGGTAGGGCTTATAGTTACTTGGGAATGGACCTGCTCCTAAAACTTTAACCTGGTCACTCATCCGGAAAATCTAGGTCAGATCCAGCATCCGAAGCAAGTGTGGTAGTGTCCATCCCTAGATGCATCATCCATGCAAGTTTGATCCAGGTAGGGCTTATAGTTACTTGGGAATGGACCTGCTCCTAAAACTTTAACCTGGTCACTCATCTGGAAAATCTAGGTCAGATCCAGCATCCGAAGCAAGTGTGGTAGTGTCCATCCCTAGATGCATCATCCATGCAAGTTTGATCCAGGTAGGGCTTATAGTTACTTGGGAATGGACCTGCTCCTAAAACTTTAACCTGGTCACTCATCTGGAAAATCTAGGTCAGATCCAGCATCCGAAGCAAGTGTGGTAGTGTCCATCCCTAGATGCATCATCCATGCAAGTTTGGTCCAGGTAGGGCTTATAGTTACTTGGGAATGGGACTTGCTCCTAAAACTTTAACCTGGGACGCCGACGCTAACGCCGACGCCGGGGGTATAGCATAAGCTCATCTCGACTTCGTCGAGGTGAGCTAAAAAGTTCAAGGTCAAAGGAAATATCAAGGTCAAAAGTTTTTTTAATGCAGTTGAATAGCTCTCACTGATACATACCAGCATATTAAGTTTGATAAAATATCTTGGATGGTTTATTTAAAACTGAGCTAAACACTAAGAAGATGGGTGAACATGATGAGTGAAAATCCTATAGTGTGACAAACATGAAGGTGAAAAATTAAATCTCAATTATATCAAAATTTTCCTTGATATTTCATCTAACATTAAAATACACTCTTTGTAAAATCTATACACCTGGCAAAAATCTCATGAAGATTGAAATCATTTGCTTATGAAATATTATACACACACTAAAGAGGGCCAAAAGAGCCATTTTCTCATACTATCAACACTATTTTTCGACATGAGTGGGTCTTCGCTCCAATTTTTTTTAAAGTTAATCCTTAAAGTTTGCATAAAAATATTCATTTTTTGGTTACCAAAAATATGGAGCAAAGACCCAGTATAACTTAAAAATATACTTTTATGACACAACATTTGCATCTTCTCGAGAAATATTTGAAGTCCATTAAGTCAAGGGTCATATCACAAACATGTTTTAAACGCCACTATTCATCAGGACTTGTACAGTCTAGTGGTTAGCGTGCTAGTCTCGAAAGAAAATGATACTCAGGATTTTTATTTATTTATTTTTTTTTTATTGCTATATAGGGTTCGAACCCCATGAACACCACATTATTTTTAAATAAAAGAATAAATTTTGCCAAGAAAATTTTCTTCAGAAAAGTTTCGTTTATCATAATTTTATAAATTTCTTGTACAAAATTTTAATGAGAACTTTACTCTAAATACTAAATTCACAAATTGTACATGATTTTTATATATCAAGCTATAGGCTTCCTGCACGCTATGTTTGCCCATCTCCTTTAAGAAAAGTGAGGTCAAGGTCAAAGAAAAGGTCAAGGTCAACAAATGTTGATGCAGTTGAATAGCTCTCATCAATATTATCAGCATATGAAGTTTAACAAAAATATTTTGAATAGTTTCTTTGAAACTGAGCTTTGAACTAAACCAAACTAAAAGCGCAACGGAAGGACGGAAGACGGACATGACACACTCTTTACACCCCAACCATATTCATGGCGGGGCATAAAAATGTCTAAAAATAGCATCAAGCCTTATTTTAATAACCCCCTAGAAAATATCTAAATGTTTTACCTTTGCTGTCATTCAGGTGTAATGCTTTCAGATACTTCTGGCCAACAACATGATTAAATTCATCCATCATGTTCTGGTAACCCTTTTCTGTTGAAATATCATAACCTGTTAAAGAAACAAATTTTAAGAAATTAAAAGGGCTTTCATGGTCAGCTATCATAGAAAAAACATATAAACATACAGGTACAACTAACATTATCATGTTTTGCTTGATGACAAGCACAAAGCTTATTAAAACCACATCAAAATTGAAAGTCTTTACATGTACTTAGATTCTAGGTTAAAATGGACATAAATTTCAAAGGGCCGACTTCATTTGTCACAGATCGGCGTACGCCGAATTGCACCGGTCATATGATCGGCGTAAAACGGCTAACTGGCAAATGAAGTAAACCGGCGAAAACCAAAAATAATTATACTTTATAACAATCAATTAATTAAGATATATAACTTTTTACGTTATGTCTTAGCGAAAAAAAAGTTGGATAGTTAGAAATTCAATGTTATAAAACATCATAGACCTCATGAAAAAAAAAATTTTTAGAAGATAAGAACAGATTTTAAATATATGGATGGAGATTTGTGCAAGAAATGCAAACAATTAAAGATTATGCCGAATTGGTAAAAAGTATCTGCATTTTATAAGTTGTTTTATCTTCCCGCCATATTTCTAAGACCGGCGAATTCCTCGCCGGTCATTTCAGACCGGCGAGATCGGCGTACGCCGGCGAACCTTCCCCGGTCAAATGAAGTAACAAGCCGGGTTACCAAAGGTCAAGCGGCGCATTCGGCGTACGCCGGTTTGACAAATGAAGTCCCACCAAATAGAATGAAATATAAGACCAAACAATTTCAGCCCAACTTTCTCAATGTCTGCACACATAAGGTATAATAGATGTAGCAGAAGATGCATGGTAGACAGCATACATTATCTTCTTGTGCTTATTTTACACAATGTCAATACATGTACAGTAGACCTTCAGATATCTGGACACTTCAGCTTCTGGCCAATTTTTCTTGGGAACAGTATTAAACATTTTGTTTCATTTATCCAGAATTCTGGTTTCCAGATCCAGACAGTCTTTTTTCAATACAAAATGCATTTTTACATTATATTTTAGTTTATTTATCCAGACAGTAATTTTTAATTGGTCTGTCAGGCGACTGTTAATTGTTGCTGGCCCGACTGTTTAACCACTGTGTCTTGATGTCAATAACTTGGTGAAAGGTTAATTATAGGTCGATAGGTACGCATGAAACCCTCACTTCTCTGACATGTACAAGATACTTATTGGTTAGGAGAAAATTATTTTATATATCAATAACTTTTCAATAATTGGCAAATATATATATGTTTTTTAACAGTAAGCATGGTAAAAGTACAATACCATAGGTTTTACACAATGACATATAGCCATGACTCCCGTGTTTCATAACATCATTTTTTTTACACACTGTATTTTATATACAAATCAGATTTTTTTTTACTTCAATCTGTAATTTGATGACGTTTATAAAATCGCATTCAAAACTACACAATTACTATTGCGTTCTTGCTTTGGATGATTAGCGTACGTATGTACATGTACAGTTATAAATGTCATAGATCGGCGTTCAAATTAAAATTAAGACTCTACTGACAGTTTGCTTGAGTACATTTTTTCCCTAGATAGGCTGGCTCTTCCAGACAGTTGGCTTGGGGAAGTTCAGTTATTAAATATTAGCTAGCAGAAATAATTAATATGGCCACATAAAGACATTACATCCAAAGTACTTCTACTTTTATTTAAACAACAGTTATTTAGTAGTACTAATGTGTTATATATTTACATTTCCAAATATTTTTCCTTAAGATTCTTTGCAAATTTGAAAAAGTTCACATTCTCATAAACTACCTTGGGATGAGTAAGAATACCAGGTATTTCCATTGTGACGTTATTGAAGTCAAAAAATGGTACAAACTTTTTTCAAAAATGATCATTGAATGACAAAAATATGTGGCAAGTCATAAGTGAAATAATGTAAATATAAGATATGAATTTAATTTTTGAGAATTCATGAGGTACATGAACTACAATGCTTCACGCCTGAATATTTTTCAAGAAGCGCTAACACGCTTCATGAAATATGCCAGCGTGAAGTGTCATAGTTCATGTCCTCATGAATTCTCAAAAATTAAATTCAGTTCTTATATTAAAAGTATTAAAACAATAACAAAATAAAACATATTGAGTTAATGCAGCATTCTTCACCATTGCTAAAGGTATGAAAGGTTTTATAGCTAAAATCAAGGCAATCAGATATTGGGACATTTCACCTATCTGAACGATTTTGACTGAGAACCACAGCATCAGAATGAATGAGGTCCACTGTATAAAAGTGCTAAAAACTGATACCTGCAGCAAACATATGACATGTATCCAAACAAATGCCAATCCTGCTTTTGTCGTGGACTCGGCTGATAATTCCCTTCAGCTCCTCAAATGTGCCTCCCACAGTGCTTCCTTGGCGGCACATGTTCTCAATCACTGCAGCGTAACAAGTCATTACATCAATCAGAAATGTAACAGAAATCAACAGACACTGATGTCCTGTTCACATGGATGCACATTAAATATCTGATTCGCAGTAAATTAATGCGAAGGAAAATAATGCAAATTGAACTAAAGCAAATTAAATTGCATTCACATGACAGTTAATGCAAAGTAAACTACTGCACATTAAAATTTTATTTCTACAGTAAGGCTATTCAGTACAGCTATTATGACATCATTTTCAAATCACATCATCTTATGCAGATCAGATCCATTTGACATATTGTCAGTGTCTGCACACATTTTTGGAGATTAACATATTTTTTCTTTGTTTCTCACTCAAAAATAGCATAATTACCTATACCTGTCCACAACCATGTAGCATCTGACTTTATTTTGCCATTGCACATGAGTCGGAATTTAATTCGAATTAGCTTCGCTAAGCGTTCACATGGAGCTTAGTAATTTGAAGCGCAGTAAATTAATTTGAATTAAACTAATTCGCACTTACAGTACCAACCAGACACAACCTAACACCAGAGCGAACCCAAAGCGCACCCTGGGTTCACTTGCTGGGTTCGCTCGGGGTCCGCTGCGGGTCCGCTTTCAGAAAATTTGGGACCGCTCTGGGTGCGCTTCGGGTTCGCTCTGCATTTGCTCGGGGTCAGCTCTGGGTCCGCTAGAGCGAACCCGGCGTTCACTTTCCGGGTTCGCTTCACGCACTCAGGCATGAAGCGGACCCCGCTTAAATCTTGCCGCCAGTAAGCCCCGCCCCTTGTATATTCCAATTACATTACTGTTTTTATGGCGATTGAAACATGTACATGTAAGTGACAATATGGAGAACGTTGATAAATTTTCAAGAATTTCACCGTACATTTGACGTAGAATTATCACTTTTATTTTTCTTAACTTGCAAGCTAAGTATATCTCGAACGAAAAAGAAGAAAAGGTGTTAAATTTATTTTCGATGTATCAGATAGAGTGAAATTGATGAGTATCTTAATAAAAAAAAGCTTTCAAATTCATCGGTTTCCATTATTCATGCGTTTTAAAATAAGTTGGAACTTCCAATTGTAATTGCAATTGCTAAATCGTAATTTAAATGTTTGAAAGACAAACAACTGAATTATGATCCTATCTATGAAATAGCTGAGACATACTATACACGTAAAATGGTAAGTTTTCATATTTAGCAGTTTACATTTAAGCTAGGTTGTCATCCATTACATGTATATGTAGGTCATGATAATCACTAAAAATTCTCATACAGTGTAACTTGAGTTTCGTTTTACAGATCATTTATAATTTACTTCCATGTATAAATCATTGTTTTATAAGGCGAGTTTAACGGAAAACTTATAAAAAAAAAAAAACAACAACAATCAAAAAACCAAAACAAACAAACAAACAAAAACTAATAACTGGTCCACTGATAAGAATATATTATTTTTTAAGTTGTTTTCAAATACATGTTGTAAATGATCATTTGAATAGTTTGTGTTCCTTACTGGTTCATGATCCCCCCCCCCCCACTACATACATGTACATACTGGAGCGGCATGTTAACAAACAAAATTCTAAATGTTTAAAAATAAATAAAAACAAGAAAGAAAACAAACAAAACAAGAATTCAATAACTGTAAACTCGCATGATTAAGTAGATGAAATAAAGATAATAATGCCAGATTTTTTTTTTTTTTTTAAATTGTTTTATTTCGATGAGCCCCCCACCCCTCTCCATACTGGAATTGTTTTCTATTGGCCGGTTGTAACGATTTTAATTTCAAATAATATACAGTGTTCTCTCTCTCTCTCTCTCGTAAAGCTATTTTACCGATTTTCAGCATTCAGGTGGCAGCAAATTACATGAACATGTACTCTTCATGCAATGTACCAAAGAACTACATGTATGACGTTTCCAAATTCAAAAATCAAAAAAAAAAAAAAAAAAAGAATAATAATTGAATCTCTCATTGATAATGTGCCCAGACGAGTTACATGTAACTTAAGGGGCATCGAATGTAGGGGGAGTATATACTCAGGTATACCGTGACCATGGAGACAGTATACATCCAGCTAGCAAGTGTCAATTAAAAAAAACCCACCGCAATTGCTCTTAGCACCCGCAATATCTTCGAAGCAGGTGGATGATTACCGACACGTGATGACCTTGGCTTCACTTTGAAACTATAATTATTAAAGTGTTATAATTAAATAATTATGACAATTACAAAGTTCAAATACAGGTACCTACAGTGTATGTAATGAAAAAATATATGTCCATTTTCGTATTAAGGTATCTTTGCAAGTTCAATTTACTAATGTTGGAATTACGTGTACTTTTCATGCACAAGTACAAAACGGACCCGTCTAGTATTTTTTTTTATCCATATAAAGTATTTCGAAAATTACATGTAGTACATGTAAGAGGTTCGTGAACATGTAAACCTGTATATATATATATATATCGACGTGAAGGAAAGTGATAAGCATTTTTGCTTTTTTTTTTTTCTTTTTTTTTTTTTTGACTGACTTGCAAGTAATTACAAAAATTCAAAAACATTCAATGTAAGGTCTACATGTAGGATAATTAGAATTGACAAAATAATCTTTCCCTATATACATGTACATGTATTTAAATCAAGCTATTTATTAAACTTTGGTAAGAGATTAATTAAAAAATATATATATAATAGTACAATGTAGTTAAAAACTCCAATTTATGTATTGACATAATGCACATTTATACTGTACAATGTACATTTAATTTTTTTTCATGATCAGTTATTAAGATCGATAACTTCGACGTTGATCTGGATAAATTAAAACGTGCATGTAAATTAAAATAATAAATAAAAAATAATTAAATTAAAGCATGGACATGTTCTTATACTATATTTTGACATAATAAAACTCTATAATTTATTGAAGACCAGTTTTTTTAATTCTTTTTTTTTTTTTTTAGTAACAATTGTTATAACCATTATTGTCTTCTTTTTTCTATTATGAATTAAAGTACTTATTGTCTGATAAATTTATGCAATGTATATTTATATATTAATGGATTTTAAAAATATAAAGGAAATAAATATGTAACTATACATGTAACATGCTACCTGGATAATAAAAATATATAATGTATCAATAGATTTTAAAAATAAACAAGAGG